ATTATATATTTATTAGAAACAAAAACAATATAGCATCGTTTAACAGCAAATCACTCTTTCTGCCATGTTTTTGCATCACATTACAAATGCATGTTTCTTGTGGACGTATGTTTTGGAGACTTGAGACATTTTCAGGCATGAACTTCGGTGCATGTCCTAACAATGAATGTCCGGTCAGATGCGTCCACAGAAAGTCCAGAGATTGTCTTGTCACATTTGCCTTCCTGGAGAATGTCAGGAGCTTATACAGAATTCAGTGTCTGAGAGTTGCTCTGCTAACTAACTGGTTAATGCTGGACAGTATCAACCAAATCATGACATTAATTACGGAAATTAAATTGAAACAGTGCAACTAATTATCTAGAATTCTACCACAACATCACCACCGGTCATCATTTCAAACCTGTACCAGACTTAAGGGTAAAAATGATTTACCATCAAGGAATTAAACAACGCCTTGAGTGTTAACACTACCACACTGAGGAGTTCCAATATTATTTTCTTCTATTGTGCCAAATGAGTAATTGCAGAGAAAGGCAGCGAGATGTCATTGTGAAAGTATTCAATGTCCTCCACCCTCACTCATATATGCACATCTCATTCATGAAGTTGCACTGAAGCTGAACATAGTGGGAAGAAAAAGAACAAGGCACTGCCTCAATCAGCTACTTGAAAATGCTATTGGAGCGAGGGCCTCTCAGTCTACACCTCTCGTTGCACATTTGAGAAATGTACAATGTTAGATATTAAAAGGAAAAGCATGAAAAAATAAATAAATAAGGGAGAAAAGTATTCCAGTCATTTATAAAAATAAGTGGTGCTTAAAAAAAAAAAGGCGAAGCTCTGTTTTTTGTCCCCCTTGCTCTTTTTTTCCCCCCTTCTTCTTTCCAGGGCCTGCTGGCCTAATCCCAGCCAGCCAGCCTTGGGTGAACTCTTTGGAAGCTTCTTAAGCCCATGAATGTGCCTTTTGTTCCTGCCATTCCTCCGCTTGGCTGACAGAAAATAGCTAACTGGATTACTGCTAAAATTCAGAGTAAAGTGAACTCCCAAACTTCTATATGGCAAAGTGCTAAGAAAGTAGCCCCCCCTCAGCCCCAAAACCCTTCCACTATCCTCATCAGCATCCCTTCGATCAGATGTTCTATCCCTCCATTCCCTCTTCTGTTCTCTCTCCTTCCTCAACCGACATCCCCCCTTAAAATGGCCCAGTGTGCGATCTGGAGCTAGAGGAGAGGGATTAGATAAGGTTGAGAGGTTGCACACAATGAACCCAAGGCTAAAAAGTAAGAATCCTAAAAGCAGTTAAGAGCTTATTAATGTGTGTAAGGAAGCGTATTAATCAACTCAACTCTATCAGGGGACTGGTGCGTGTGTGTGCGTGTGTGTGCGTGTGTGTGCGTGTGTCAAATCTTTGTGGAAAATAAAGTAGTGAAAAAAAGATGTACAATATAATTTTATGAGTCTCAGAGGTATAAATACAGAGCAAGACAGGTGTTAATTCAAGCTTGTGGTGTTTTTTTGTCTTGTGTTTGATTTCATTATATCAGGACGAGTGGAGGTTTATATTTCTGTGTGTTTGTTTCTGAATGGCTGTGTGCAGGTGGTCTGGCAGCTCAGCGGGAGTTAGAGTGAGAGGTGTAGTGAATAAAAAGACTTGGGTATGTGTGTGTGTGTGTGTGTGTGTGTGTGTGTGTGTGTGTGTGTGCACGCACATCTTGGGTGGGTGCTGTTAAGAAAAAGATGAAAACAGCCCAGCTAAAGAGGTTTGATTTGATCCACCACCCACCCTGACTAGCCGAGGTGAAAGAGAAAGAAAGACACACACACACACGCACACACACACACACACAGGCAGGCAGACGTCTAAACCTTAGTTCCTTTCTACCTCCTTGACTCTTTTGTCCCCCAGTGAGTGCACCTTTGGATATCTGCATATGTGTATATGAGCATGCCTGCGTGTGTATGTATGTATGTATGTGTGTATGTGTGTGTGTGTGTGTGTGTGTGTGTGTGTGTGTGTGTGTGTGATGGCTTATTCTGGGTCAGACAGAGACACAACGGTGGAGAATAACGCAGTGCAGGAGGCGGAGTTGATGATCACGACGAGGTCATACAAACCCAGCATCCCTCTGAATTCTGGGTCAAAGGTCAAAATTCAAGGGGCACCAACACAGAGCCAGCCTGCTCACTCATTAATCTTTATCCCGAGTCTCCCAATCCCCGCATCTGATGACAAGTGTATTTGGCCGAAAAATCTAAAACTTTTACATGACCCCTGTTTTTCTGGTTAACGAGGATCATTCTTGTTTTAATCTTCCGGTCGGAAAAAACAGACATAGAAAGCAATTTCATTTATTTTTTAAATACATAAAAAAAACTGCACAGGCATGTGGTGCTGAATCAATGAGCTATCATATATATATATATATATATATATATATGCAGTATTCGCCTCAGTTATGCATCACAAAGAGTTGTGAAAATCCAAGACTGTTAAACTGAGCAGTGTTTAAGATTCAGGTCCATGTTGACATGATTGCATCACACATTTTTTCTGCAGATTTGTCAGCTGCACATTGATGCTGTGGAATTGCCCGTTTTACCACATCCCAGAGGTGTTCTATACATCTGGTGACTGGGGAGACAAGTGAGGAACGTTGTCATGTTCATGGAACCAGTTTGAGTTCTTTTGTGAAACTGTACACTGTCATACAGGAAGCAGCTACTCATAGATTGTCCATTATGACCATAAAAGGATCACATGGTAAGCAGCAATACTAGTTGGGCTGTGGCACAGTTGCATAGAGCAGTTATTTGAGTTATTGTGGCTTCTCTGTGTCCTCCAGCGAATCTAACCTCTCTTGTCATCACAGAGTCTCGACACACACCTGCTCACTGGATGTGTTTTTTTACACCAAAGACTGTTGTGCATGAAAATCTCCGGAGATCAGTAGTTTTAAGAAAACCAAAGTCACTATGATTATTTTTTTATGTATGACGTTAAGCATCTGACCTGCATCAGCAGGATTTTATGCACTGCACTGCCGCCATATCATTGGCTGACTGGATGATTGCATGAATAAGTAGGTGAACAGATGCACCTTATAAATTGCTTGGTGAGTGTATGTATATGGAGACAAAGAGAAATTAATGTGCGATATAGGAATCAGATGTGGATGGCATTTTTGCATTCATATAAACACACTCACTCACTCTCACACACACACACACACACACTATCTTAGTGAGGACACTCATGGGTATAACACATTCCCTAGCCCCTAACCCTAATCATCCAAACTAAATGCCTCACCCAACCCTAACCTAAGTCTTAACAATCAAACAGCCAATTGAAAAGTAACCACTCAAAATGTCCTCACTCTCCAAAAATGTCCTCAGTCTGTAGGGTCTATGCTTAAAAGTACAGGAACACACACTCATTAATAGAAGGCATAATCATCATTTCGCAAACTCAAATGCAATAAGCCTTACATTGAAATTTTTTAATTTGCTAATGTAAAATGTAGACATAGATGCAAGTTAGTTTGACAACATCACTGAAGACAACATGATGGACTGTTTACTACAAGGCCTTCCTGTCAGATAGTGTGAAGCGAGTTCATGAGCTGAATGATGGAGAAACAACGCAACATGTAAAGCCAGGGGAGGGCTGAGAGAAAAACCCTGCGTTGACAGCTCACACACCGACTGCTAGTCCCACAGCAGCACTAACTCCTGTCAGACACCAGAGACGGACGTACGCACACGTGCACTGACATTACTTTGACTACACTTAATTTCCTGCAGACTTACTCTAACCTTAACCGTAACTAATACTTGCTGAACCCTAACCCTTATCCAAACCTTAAAACGTGTCTTCACCTTAAAATGTAATGATTTATGTTATGGTGGTTTTCTTTGAGTCCCCTAAAAGTGACCGTGTCAACAGATTTTAAGTCCCCACAATATTATTAAAACCTTGGTCACACACACATGCAGAGTACATGGATTACTGTGATGCTACTGTCATCAACCAAAGTGTGAGACAGTTAATCGATGTGGACACTTTTCTATGACAACCTGCATTAGAAAAAAGTGGAGAGATCATTGTGTTTTTAAAAAAAGATTTTAAACTATTACTGAATTAAAGCTTTTAAGAAAAAAAATGCTGGACCCTTTTGGAGCAGAAAAATAATTTTGTTGGCCGGGCTGAAAGACACGACGTCTATGAAGAGGACGACATTTGTTTTAATTCCTCACCATATTTGTTTTTGTGCGAAAGGTTGCTTCCTGTGTTTGACCACAAGGTAAACTGGCTGCGATAGGTGCCTCTAGGTGTGAGTGTGTGAGTGCGTGCATGTGGGTGTACGATTAGGGGGTGTACAGTCAGTGTAGCATGATAAGAATTTTGCAGTGTGTTTGCACAGTGTGCGTTAGTGAGATAATAATCCCAGCGGTCAACAAGAGTGAAGGGCCAGAGCTGCACTGACCAGCCCACCGTCTGAGAGAGAAAAGAGACGGAGAGGGAGAGGAAGAGGGAGAGAGGGAGGAAGCCATGTGGTTAACACTTGCTCACTAAGAGGCGACTGGAGCAGGGCCAACCTCTTCACACACAGGCTGACCACACAAGAGCCCCTCTTTCTCCCTCTGCCTCCCATCCTCCCTTCATCCCTTGTTGCCCAACATTTCCTTCTCTCACTTCCTCGGCTATGGCTACATCCCACCCTTCTCCTCCTCCTCCTCCTCCTCCTCCTCCTCCTCCTCCTCCCTGCACCTTCTTCTCTCTTTTGTCTCCTCCAAACTTGCCCAAATTCCTCCCTCCTCTTTTCTCACCTAAGTCTCTTCTCCTACCTCCCTTGACCCTAAACTGTCACTCTGTCCGCCCACCCCGTCATGTCTGTTTTTGATGAACATCCCTCTGTCTCTGCTCGCCTTTTCTGCCTCTTCTCCCTCTTCTCCCTCTCTCCATCCCTTCCTCCCTCCCTCCCGCTCCGACTTACTCGTACGGGGATCCATTCGGTCTCTGTTTCCTTCTGCGGGTTGCGGTACTTCTCGTAAAATTCTCTCTTCTTTTTGCCCTCTTTATCGTCTTTACGTTCCTTCTTTTCGACGGGTTCGTCTGAGTGTTCGGTGGCAGAGGGCAGGGGAGTTGATCTGGCTGGTTTCTCCAACTCCAGGTAGTTCTCGTTGGGGTTGAGCACCATCACACCATAGCCGTCCTAAAACAGGAAAAAAAAAACAAATGTATATGAGCGACATAATGTCCTTTATTTCAGATACTGCACCCACCTTGTTAAGCATTAAATATTTGTTTTATATATTGTTAATTTTTAATAACTATGTATACATATATATAAAAACACACGCATCAAATACACGTAGCACACTCTGCACTTGTAAAGAACTTTGTGTCGTGCTTTATAAAAAAGAACATTTTTAAAATAGGTTGAGAAAAAGAGGCATCAAAATGTCAGAGAAGAGACGGGTCGAGGTTTGTGTGTGTGTGAGAGAAGGATTTGTAAAAACTACACATTTTTCTAATGACTGAAATGCTGTAATTTTCTTTTGAAAAAAAACAGCAAAATGTAAATGTTTGATAGGTGTATTTGTACTGCTCATAATATTTTCATAATATTTTTGTACTTAAAGTAAAAGCCAATATAAACTTGGTCAAACCTACTATGAAAAGTCAATATTACACCTCAGGTTAATCTCTGCTACCTTGAAGCTCAAAAACATGCTCAGTCTGATAGTGGCTCATGGTGTTAAAGAAGAAGGAGGATAACTGTGAGCAAATAAAACCGTAACAACACTTAAAAGACACAGCTTGTGAGATGACTGAGGAGGAGATGCAAATCCAGCCTGAAAGAAAGGGCAGAGACAGAGACGGAGGAGAGAGTGTCACTGCAGGGACAAGCCTGAGAAGTAACTGGGGATTGGAATTCAGCGGCAGTGGTTTCAGTCGGTGAGTAGCATTTAGTGACTCCAAAGGCCAATTGTCACTTAATATCAAACCCGATCGATCCTACCATCACTCAACAGAAGAGTTGGCCGCAACTGCATATGTATCTGTGTGTATGTGAAACTTCCAAAGACAGAATTAAAAATAAAAGTCGATCATTTTTTTAAAAATGCTGAGTTAATTAATAATAATAATAATCTGTGCATTACTTCAAAATGCAAATAATGAACAGAGCATTTATAAAGACGAAAAATGTGAGAGAGGTTATAATAAGAATGACAGAAGGGAAATGTATTGTGGAGGAAAAAGGAAGTTTTTTGTAGCCTTCTGTGACTTCTTCAACTTTGAAGCCATTTTAATTAACTGCGTTTATTGTCCCAAGCACTCTGAAACTAAAGCAGGAAACGGACGGATTCCTGTTCCACTTTAAGTCAAGCTTTTCCCACACAACCACCCAAACTCATGGGTTTACGCCTGTGCAAGCACACACACACACACATATCACGCAGAAGACACACTAAGGAGAGGTGAAAGATATCAGCGCTGACAAAAAGACCTTTAGGAGACATAAGAGGGAGTTAACTGAGGCAGCATAGCTCAGCTCCTACTGCAAATCGCCATCACTCACGCTGTCCTCTCAAGGCAGCACGTCTCCTCTTCCTTAATAAGTGTTAACACAATGTGCTTGTCTTCCGTTGACGCAGCATGTGTGTATGCGTGTGTGTGCGTGTGTATGTGTGTGTCCCTCCTATGCCCAACGACATCAAACCTGCCATACACCCCTTCCCTTAGCACCTGCCGTGTGTTGACAAGAGCAAAATGACACTTTCACACTTATTAGGTTATAAAATTAGTCAGATTCTCGCTCGCTTCTGAAATTCAGACATGGCTACACTTGCTGGATACATTTGCTTATCTATCATACAGAAATTATTAACCTGAGAGAACAAATTTAAATGCGGAGAAAATTGAACATGAATGCACTGTTTATCGTAACATCTAAAGTATGTGAATTAAAAATGAATTGACAATTAAATCAATTAAAATGTATAGCAATTGTAATTCATATTTGATATTTTATTTACGATTTATGACTTGCATGCCCATGTACTAGTATGTGTCAACAATTTCTCAGCACATTATGTTTTTGCAGACATAGATTTTTATTAGTTTGTGTGTGTCTGTGTGTGTGTCTGTGTGCACATCAGATAAAGTGAAGTTAGAGCTATTGGCTGAGGATCTGTTAAAGAGACGTAATTCAGCCTTTGGACATCACAGAGACATTTGCCTGCAAAAACAGAAGTTCAGACACACAAACGCACAATCAGACAGATGGGTTGCCGGATGAGAAAGAAATGGAAGGAGAGATCAGAGGAGGGAGAGGAAGAGTGAAAAACAGAGAGGAGAGATTATAGATAGATTGTAAAATGATAAGACAGATGGATAAAACGTGGAAGGAGCAACAGAGAGACGTAGTCTAACCAGATCCACACCAGCTTTGTGCCACTGCCCACTGGTGGCAGCCTGATAAAACAACTGACAAGACCAGTTCAGCCTGTGGCAACATTGTAAAACAAATAAAAAAGAATTAAAAATATCAATATAATATTCAATTAAAACTGTTAAATAATAAATAAATGTAAAAACATGTACAATTACAGAATGAAAAGTCCACTGCATTGTAAACATTTTCTAAATCAAACGAGAGGAAAGGAAACTTGAAAAGACTCCTCTACTTCACAACCATCACCTCTTTGTGTGCGTTTCTCCTTTCCCCTAATCCGGACTCTCGAGGCCAAAAGTTAACACCGTCCTACGTGTTCTGATGCTAACCCTAAGTGGCCTACAACCATGTTTCGTCGTCAGTGTTCTTACCCTCACCATCGCTGGTCAATAACCCTTCCCGGCCTGAAACATACTAATGCTAACCTCAAGGGCCCGGCTCCTGGCCTTTAGTGTCCTCGTGCTAACCTTGAGTGGCCTGTAGCCCATGGCCTTTCCTTCAGAGAGGCCAACACACCTAACCAAGCTAACAGTGCTAACCCTTTCAGCTGTCCAGTCACCCAGAAGGACATTGGGGTATTTAGTCTGGAGGAACAGGGCCGTTGACTTCGCCTCTACGTCGGAAGCAATCATTTACTCCAACACTGAGAGGTCTGTGTTGGTGTCGTGACAACACAGTCACTTCCTCCTCTTATTCTTCACTCCATCAACCAAACATACAACAATGAGGCTGGTGACGGTCGACCGGGCACAACAGAGAGACTTGGAAAATGTCTCTTCACATTTTTATAAACAATTTAACTATAGATGGAATCATTTTCTTTTCTATTTTTTCTTATCAAATATTTAAGTTATTATAACTGTGACTACTGTGCTTTGGACAGATCCCTATCTACATACACACAATGACAAATGATATAGACAAAAACCTAACAGCACAATGCTATTGCTTTCCCAGAACCAACTTCTCCCACAGAGCTCATCTGTGACAGCTAAATCTCTCAGCCATACACCCTCAAAGTTCGGTCATTTGGTCTTTGTGTTTCTGGCAAACTTTTAAGTCTCTCCCACACACACAGAGACTGGATACACCTGCTAAATCTGATCTTTGTGTTGTGATGTGCTGTCAGTGTGAATCTTACACAAATGCACGTAGCAAACCTTGGGTCACGCTGCTTTTTATACTGCTAAATCTCTCTCACACACATCGCTAACACCAGGTCACTTTGCCTTTGTCCTATACACACACACACACTGTGTCTGGAATAAAAGCAGACACACATGCTCCTCTGGTGTTGGGCCCGTCTTGTCTTCCCGCTGCAGTATGCAGGCTAAGTCTCTTCCCATGCCCTGTGGGTGCCCCTGTGCCACCACCACACTGAGTCCCTGCCCTGGGGCCAGCGGTCAAGAGGGTCGCCCCGACCCCTATGAGGGGGGGCACCCCGACCCCCGTCACCCCTCTATGGACGCTCCTTAGCGCTCCTTTGACGGCCTGTCCTGCACCAGATAGCACAACAAAGGCTGCCGCTGCTACGGAGACCAGGGCTTGTCTCATCATCGTGATCAAACCCTTCCTCTGACATTCAGGTTTGTGAAGCCAAAATACCCCTCAGTGTCTGCATGGGAAAAAATTATAAAAAAGGAAAACGTAATCTGTAATTTAAATATTATGCATTGATGTTTATTATTATAAAACCAGACCAAACTGTGGTGTCTTAACAATAATGTCAATACTCTTTGATGACACTGATGTGCCCTCTTTATGGTCAAATTAGACGCCATTTGTCCAGTAGAACTTTGATGGTAATAGATCATTATTTTCTCTTCCGGCATAATTTAAAGAGAAAGTGGACAGTGTGTGTTTGTGTGTGTGTCTTTATGTGAGTGGCTGCACAAGTGCAAGGGAGAGTAAATAAGACGTCCCTTTAAGACAGCAGCGCCTCTATTTTTCTAGTGGTGTTGTAATGAAATGAAATGTGTCTAATGTGCGGGAGCAGGGAGAGAGGCAGCCAGAGTGAGAGGGTGTTTCATCTGTGCGTGTGGAGCTCAGCGAAGCTTTGATGTGAGAGCTCTCATGTAGTGAGCAGGGCTTTGGGCACAGGGAAAAGGACAGCACTTGACAGGTACAAAGCATGGCTGATAGCGGTCACGGGTGCATGCAGTGAGGAAAGTGGATGGTATGGTCGCATGAATTTGAGGTTGTATGTGTAGCCGTTTGCTGAATAGGAGCATATAAAAGCCCTCTTCCACATTACACTTGTACCTTAATGCATTTTCTATCCGTGCACATGCATCTTACATCATCAAGAGTCTATAGGTGTCCTCTGAAATTGGCTCATGGGCAAATTCGTTTTCTGTCGGGGGGCAGCTGCGATAGGGGCAAGCAGAGGCACCTTTTCTCCAAAGCCGTCGCTCCACTTCCTAGTTTCGGCGATACGCGGCTCGCGATTCGCTACTCAGGCTTGAGTGACAAGGAGGAAAGGGTCACCCAGCATAGCATACCCAATGAGAGGAGGAGGAAGGGAGGGATGTCTGCAGGCTACAGTTGGGTTTGAGATTTGAACGAAGCTCAATGGCCAAACCAAGAAAAAAGGCCGAGATGGAAAAATAAGCGTCACACTTTGCTCTCATTTAAGAAGCTATGTGTCTGTTTACAGGAAGACGGACACAACAATAAAGAGGTAATACGGAGTGAGAGGGAAGGTAAATACTATAATAACAAGTTCACACTCACTCTCCCTCTCTGTCAGGGCC